TTTAAACAGCCTTGTTTTAAAAAGGGGGGGGGGGGGGGATAGTCCCTTTAATTAAATAGCCCTTGAATATCATTGCATTTATTTTATTTAAGCAATTGTATTTTTAGATTAATAATTTAGCTTAATATATAGAAGAATATATAAAAGATTATGAAAAAAGTATACTTAATTACAACTTTAATAAATGAAATTTAATAACTTTAATAAATGATGTATGTTTAAAATAAATTATATATATATATATAATCCTGTATTTGCAATTATTAATATATTTTATATAACATATATACTATTTTATTAATATACTTTAATAATAATACTAATAAACAAATTTCCTGATTTACCATACTTTTAAATTATTTAAATGCATTAATCAAGTTAAATATAATAAACCTGCAAATTCACATACACAGGTGAGGATTACACTTCTCTCAGACTAAAGAGTCGGAGATCTTTTTTGTAATGGAAAAGCTGTAAAGAATTGCTAGAGAAACAAGGCATATAACATTGATATTGGACAGGACAAGTAATGAAGACAATGAGAAACAATAGTTTTATTTCTAGGGTCTAAACCTCTAGAGCTAATAGGCAATGCATTACACTGGTTTACCACTCAACTTCACTCACATCTACACAATGATGCATCATACTTGCCTCTCTCAGCTAAGCATCACGCAAACAATAAAATAAAAAAAATAAAAAAACATGAGCATGCACTTAACAGACAAATATTATCACAGGGCATATATGTACCATACAAGAAACAATGAAATACTCAACAACAAAGACAAACAAATAAAAGATGAACTTTTTTATACTGATACAGACAGTATTTTGTGTGTTCAGAAGGCAGTACTTCAGTGTCAAACTCACCCCGTTGTTTTGTGCTGCTCTGCCTACTCTGTATCTCTCATACCTGTTAGAACACAGAGCGCCCATGAAAAATCAAAAACACTCGTGACGAGATGGAGATGAAAGAAATGTTAATGTGTTTTCAGACCCTGAGCAAAGGAAGGGAAATCAAAGGGAAGCCTGAGCTGAGTGCGGAGACGTTAAGTCAGAGCTTCCTCTGAGAGCTGTCAGATAAAGGCTGACGAGGGAAATCTTTTTGTGACGGACACTTCTTCTCACCTCTCGTAGCGCAGGAAGCTGTTGTTTAAATCATCGTTGATGTGTAGCAGCTCTTCGGTGACCTCTTCGTTAGACACGCGAGAGATGAGCTCCACTACCCTGTGCTGCATGGCTCGACACGTCCTGTTCAGCTCCTGACACACAACATGCGCTTCAGCTTTGCTGTTATTCTTATCAGTTTGCATTATTATGGAACATTTTCCCAGTCGAGTATAGAAAGGACATAATAATGTACATACAAACCTATATGATGAACAGAATCATAGACATGAAGTAGATGAGGTGCTTGTCTATTTTAAAACACTGTATTGCTACACCCTCTTGTGGTGATGTTTAGATTTAAAATATCTAGACTTTTTTTTTTTTTTTTACTATGGTCTTTTATTGTAGTGGTGCGTATTAAGAACATGGAAAATTTTGGTGAGAAGAAAGGAGAATGGGATGTTGCATGCTGGATTAGAACCCATATAGCCAACATGAGCACCACAGCTCAATATGTCCGAGAAGCTATGCTATGTGCTAGGCCACAGATCCATTGGATTTAATTTGTGTTCAACTGCTCTAGGTAAACATATGGCATCATTTATATGCATATTCACTGTACAAAAGATTTGAGCGCAGTGGGAAAACTCTCGGACCTGGAGCAGCTCGAGATCAGAGGCGTCTTCTTGGCCCGGCACCATCTCTGTCAGCATCTCCGACATCACTTTAATATTCCCACGCACAACGTCCAGCTCACTTCTCAGCCTTGCGATCTGTACACACAAACAAAACACTTCCGAATCAACAAAAACAGTAATAATATTTCTACATTTTAAAATAACTGCTTTTTATGTGAATATATTGTAAAATGTACTTTATTTCTGTGATGCAAAGCTGAATTTCCAGCATCATTACTTCAGTGTGACATGATCTTTCAGAAATCAGTCTAATATGCCGATTTGCTGCTCAAGAAACATTTTTTATTATTGTCAAATGCTGTAAACAGTTTAATATTTTTGTGGAAACTGTGATATTTATATAAAAAAATATATAAATGTTTTTACTGTCACTTTTTATCAATTTATTGCATGCTTGCTGAATAAGAATATACATTTAAAAAAAAAAACTAAAATCTTAATGCCCCAAACATTTGCATGGAAGTTAGGAAAATGTTTCAGATTAAGATTATCTCTAAAGCATTATTCACAATAAACTGGTTTTAGCTGTAATGGTGTGTGCACACCAAAAGTGAAGCGAATATTTGTTTCGCGTTATCGCTTTAGATTACTTGCACAGCGTTTTTTTAAGTCACTCGCACAAATAAAATCATCGCATTTTCTGATAAAAACTGGACTTGTCAAACCAGACGTGTCAATAAGATCTTCATTGATTGGCTTGCGCGACAATGTGTCGTGCGATTTTTCCTCTAAAGTTCTTGTGCGGAAGACGCTATTGATGCATATATCACGCGTTTGCGGCAATCGCATCACCCAATTCGTGTCATTCACATTGTCTGGCTCGAATTAGTGTCTGTTCGCATCTTTGCATTGACGTTGTATGTAATCTACTTGCGCAAATAATTAAATTTGCTTTTGGTGTGCTCGTACCATAACACCTGATGCGTGATAAAAGGTTGCTTTTTCATGTTAATCAGAGTTTTTGTCCTAAATAGCCGTGACGGCGACATGTGAAATTTCTATTTTAGAAACGGTTTCTATTTCTGCGATGTAACGTTAGCGCCTGGAACAACAACATACAAACTATATGACAGTGATAATCTCAGGTACTGATTATGTGCTTTATTCAAAGTTAACGTGCCTAATGTGGGTTTGAAGATCATTTTGTGTGACATTATAGCCATACTGAAATCAACAACAGATAGTTTATCTCAGATCATGAAAATAAATTAAAGCAAACATGTATGTTAAAACAGCGAACACGACACGAACCAACAAGCGTTTTCCATGACAAAGATGGTATCAGGCACTCAGTATGTACATTTAATGATGTTAAAAGGTTTGATATTTATGAATTAGATTATAAACGTATCCATTTTGTTGCGAGAGCAGTGCGCTTCCAGAGAGAGCCCGCCCACACACGCTTCTGATTGGCTGTGATATTTGATTGATTTTGTCGCGTTTGGTGTGGACACCCAAATTGCTTGTCACGGGAATCTTGTGCGTCGCGTGTAGTTAGGACACCGTGCAAGTCAGCTCATTGGTTTTGGAACAGGTTTTCAACACATTTCATCTTAGCACTGAATACAGCAAAGTCTATTCTGAGGTGAGTGTGACCTGCTCTGGGTTTGCTGTGATGGGTCCCGATACAGGTGGGATCTGGGTGGGGTTGAAGTCAGCTGTTGCAGCAGCTGCAGGTTTAGGCCCCGTTTGAGATGCTGTGTTGGGCTGAGCAGGAGCTCTGTACTTGTGTGTGCCTGGATCTACCTCTGGGACTCCCTAGAATGACACACACAAGAAAGGATGAAGCGAAATGAATGAAAACATATTGAAGAACCCACTGCTAAACCCTGTGAGTGTTGTGTGTTTCTCACCCGCTGTGGTGTGTGGATGGGTGACAAAGCATCCAGGTCTGCCATGGGGAACTCAACTCCTTTCCTCTTCAGCTCCTCGTAAATGTGCACGACTCCAGTGAGGTCTGGGCTGCTCCTGAACGCATCTGCCCAAGCCTGGGCCGAAACACAAAGACAGAGAGGTGATTGGTTAATGTATAGTGGGTGGAACTATACAAGAGCTATCTCACAGGAAGTGACTCCTAATTTACACATAACTGGGCATTATCAGGTAAAGTTTTCAACCATTAGCAATACATGGTTTTTAGCAGGTAAAAGGAACTCAACTCAATGCAAACTGAATTTTGTTAATCACTCTTGCCAATGGCCATTCTTGATAAATTTACAGTACACAAGTGGAAATCATTGAGGTCCAAGCAGATGGAATAGTTTAGAGCAGGTTATTGATCAACTTTTTTGATTTCTGGTCCCTCCTCTGTTCACAACAATATTTAAACGCACCATGAGTTTTACAGTTTTACGTGACTTATTAGATAAGTATTTTTAAAAATATCTTTTACTTCCACAAATTTGACCCGATAAAGTATTTTAGAGCTTGGCATAACTAGGAAAACGTATATGCATTATAAAAAGTTTCATAGAGTTACAATAATTTTATTAATTTACATAACTTTTCCAGGTCTAGAAATTTAAAATTAGGCTTCCACATATATCCAGTTTTTTCAAGACAGTGGAAATCTTGTTTCTTAATTTAAAAAAAATGGTCATGGGGTGAATTAATATAAGAAATCACTTTTTTGTTGTTGTTTTTAGCTTGTTTTGTCTTTAAATAATTTGAAGTCATCTTAAGACCCCCTTGGAAGTTTGCTGAGGCCCCTATTGGGCCCTGGGTCCCTGGTTGAGAAACACTAGGTTAGAAAATGTTTATAACTGCCAAATTTGGCAGAAAATATGCTCTGGATGTTAGGGATACACTTGTTGTCTAATAGTGGTAGTTATAAAGATCACATTTACATTTAGTCATTTAGCAGACGCTTTTATCCAAAGCGACTTACAAATGAGGACAATAGAAGCAATCAAAAACAACAAAAAAGCAATAATATGCAAGTGCTATGACAAGTCTCGGTTAGCCTAATGCAGTACATGTAGCAAGGTTTTATATATATATATATAGGTGCATCTCAATAAATTAGAATGTTGTGGAAAAGTTCATTTATTTCAGTAATTAAACTCAAATTGTGAAACTCGTGTATTAAATCAATTCAATGCACACAGACTGAAGTAGTTTAAGTCTTTGGTTCTTTTAATTGTGATGATTTTGGCTCACATTTAACAAAAACCCACCAATTCAATCTCAACAAATTAGAATACTTCATAAGACCAATAAAAAAAACATTTTTAGTGAATTGTTGGCCTTCTGGAAAGTATGTTGATTTTTTATTGTACATGTACTCAATACGTGGTAGGGGCTGCTTTTGCTTTAATTACTGCCTCAATTCGGCGTGGCATGGAGGTGATCAGTTTGTGGCACTGCTGAGGTGGTATGGAAGCCCAGGTTTCTTTGACAGTGGCCTTCAGCTCATCTGCATTTTTTGGTCTCTTGTTTCTCATTTTCCTCTTGACAATACCCCATAGATGCACCTGTAGAATGTGCACAGTGTCATTCACACAAGCACTAAACACCATCACGGTTACACACATGATACTGAAATGATGCAATAAACATTAATTTAACAACATTACATGTAGGATAAAACCCGAATGTACACAACTGAGAAGAAGAAAAACATAAGAAGAAGAAACAGTTATTTCAATGAAAAAAACATCAAATATGAAGTGTCATGCAAGGAATTGTGGGAGTGTCAATTTATGTTTGATTGTTTTGTTTTTTTACTGTAAATTATACAATGACTTGTTTTTCACTTCCAAAAAACTTAATTTTAACAGTCTTATTGTGAAATTACATTCAATGTAATCACAATTTGTCACTGTGTATATAGTACAGTATATATATATATATATATATATATATAAAACAAAAAGAAAACAAATCGATAGAATAGAAAAAGAATAGAGAAGGCTAAAGTTAGATGCCTTTTTTAAGAAAACAAGCAGCTGGAAAAAAAAAAGAGAGTGCACATGTTCAAGGGTCAAGTCAACAAATATATAAAATAGAATTAGAATAGAGAGTGCTAGAGTTAGAGTATCAAATAAAGATGGATTTGATTCATTTGTTCTCGGATGGCCCGAAAATGTAGTTGACAAATCAAAAATGTAATAAAATAAAATAAAACTAAATAAAATAAAATAAAATAAAAAAACAATTCAGTGTGAAATTTTAGAGGCTGAAAATCCATGTAAACATTTGATTTGAGAAAATGCAAATGCAGCTATGCCCTGTACACCATCAAAGAAACTGTCAGCGATCTATCTAAACTGAGTCAGTCTGATTCAGTAATGGCTTCCAGTCAACTAGAATTAATGCAATTGCATGCAGCCTCACAGACCAAGTCCATCAGACCTAGTTTCCAGCCCGCACCCATTCTGAATGGAAATGCTTAGAATGCAGCAACGGCCATCAGTGGTGGTTTTATTGCAGAAACAAAGTAAGAGTTCAGGAGGAAGTTTGTAATCTGGGTTGGGCCGTTTGCCTCACTCAGTTCACCTGAATCAGTGACAGCACTTTGTCCTGTACTATAGCAGGAGGGTTGGTCTTCGGAGTGATAATCTTCACCAAGACACCTTCGATGAAATCTCTATTGGCGATGTGGACGTGAAAACGGTGGCCGCAGTTTTTCACGCAAGTCTCCAGCACCTAGAAAAGACAATTATACAAGCAGCTAAGATTACTGATTATTTAGACAAGCTGAAGCTCTTAGATGACCACACAAAACAGGAGCATAATGCATTCAAATCCTCACAAAATACCTTCTTCAAAAGTCAAAATAGCCTCCGGCAGGCCTGAAGTGGGGTTTACAAAGTACTCATTCGTCATTAACTATTAAAAGTGCACAGCACCAGACTTAAAACCAGATTTTGCTCCTCCACCTTCATTTATGACAGTATGAACACAAGGGTTTATGTGAAAGTAAGAGAATGTCCAGCACACTGTCACTCACGGTTAGAGCCAGCATCACTTCACGGAAGTTCCTGTTGCCACTGAGTCTCTTTTTCACCGCACGCATGGCATCTTTAGGCCTGTGGGGGCACACAGTTTTGACAACAGCTCACCATACTATATTATCACACGCACAACAGAAATAAACAGTATATTTATTCTAAGCATAAGCTGTCAATGTTTTTAACATTCATCGGCTGAGAAAAAAATGCTCTTAAAAACTGTTTATAGTTGTGGTGTGGACTCCACTGTTCTCTTTTATTGTTTTTTTTTTTTTTTTTTAAGTGAGACACTTACAGTTACATTAGCAATATTTTGGCAAATTTCACAAGAAAAAAAGGTCCAATGTCTATTGTAAATAATGTAACATGACACTCAGAAGTCACTTTTCAAACCGAGACTAAAATCGTCCGCCTTCACACAAAATTCCCAAAATAAAAATTATTTTTGTTTTCTTTGCACACAAAAAGTATTGTCGTAGCTTCATAATATTATGGTTGAACCGCTGATGTCACATGGACTATTTTAACGATGTCCTTACTGCCTTTCTAGGCCTTGAACGTGTCAGTTGTGTTGATGTCTATGCAGGGTCAGAAAGCTCTCGGATTTCATCACAAATATCTTAATTTGTGTTCTGAAGATGAACGAAGGTCTTACGGGTTTGGAACGACATGAGGTTGAGTAATTAATGACAGAATTTAAATTTTTTGCTGAACTATCCCTTTAATAATTACTTCTATAGTTATCGCTCTTGGTGTGAACAGGCTTTATAGAGCTATTGATATGAACATACTCTATTGAAGTAGCTGTCTCACACTCACCCATTTTTAGTTGTATTGCTCAGACTTGGGGTAAAGGATTTGAACAAACCCCTACAAGTAGCTACAGTAAAAAGCTGTTGATTTGCATCATAGACGTTTCTATGTTGTGTATTTCAGCATTACTGGATTGAGCAATCAGTACCCAGGATCATAACTATCCATTTTATAACATGCAATTTAGCAGATCACTCTGTGAGCTCATGATAGGAATTAAAAGACTCAATCCGCCACTACTGAAAGCCCTCTTACAAAAACACACTGTAATTTATTGACAGGAAGTTCATCAACTCCCAGCTTTGTTTTCTCCCATGGTGGGATCAAAGCTCCCATGTCGTCTTTTTATAAGCTTTCGTAAGCAAGAACAACAACATCAGCTACTAAAAACTGAACTCAACGTAGAGACGATTTAACTGTAAAAATGAATAGGAGAAATTATGCTCAATATCACACCATAGTTAAAAGAAGCAATCAGAATTTTTGATAAGGACTGTCATGAAGATGTCCGCCAACTGACTTGTCTTAAAAAGGAAATTTGCTCAGACTCAAATTGCATACTCCCACAGTAGTACTCCTTTTGAATAAGCAAGTACTTCGCAACCACTAAAAAGTATGTTATATTTAATATGAATGAAATACAGATGTATTACATTTGCTTTGTTGTCAATGTCATGTGTGCTGCTTTACTGCCATTCACTAATCATCTAGGAAAATGGTAATCAGATTTGGATCTCACAGGAAGCAGTTGGTCATCTGGTTAGGTTTCACCTACTTTTTTTAATGAATAGTCTTTTCACATACTGTTTTTCAAGATGGTCCTCACTGCAGAACACAAGTTGGATCCAGATCCAACTCCTCCCACCTTACATATACCTAAACCCACCCGTCTCCACCCCCTGATGCCTAAACCCACCCGTCTCCACCCCCTGATGCCTAAACCCACCCATCTCCACCCCTAAACCTACCAATCTCCACCCCTTAGATGTGGATCCAACCACGCCCCCTGGATCTTGTGTTCTGCAGTGAGGGGCTACTGTGTTTTTCACCTACTCGATACTAGGGAAGTATGTGATATAGATATAGCCATCATGTGCAGAAAAGTCTACCAGAGAGGAGGAACTATAGTAATACTCTCTTGCATTATGGGAAGTACAAAATAGCAGAAGTGAAAATCAAAACGGCATGGGACAGAATTGACTGGCACTTTGAATAATGAATACTTAAATGCACTTTCTATCAATATTATAGCCTAAGACTGCACTATTCTAAATGTATGCTTAGTCTGACAAATTCTGCTTAAAGAGGCGTTTATGCTAATAATGGAATGCATCATTAAAAAACACGAAAGATTGTTTACACCTGTCTCCACCCCCTGATGCCTAAACCCACCCATCTCCACCCCTAAACCTACCAATCTCCACCCCTTAGATGTGGATCCAACCACGCCCCCTGGATCTTGTGTTCTGCAGTGAGGGGCTACTGTGTTTTTCACCTACTCGATACTAGGGAAGTATGTGATATAGATATAGCCATCATGTGCAGAAAAGTCTACCAGAGAGGAGGAACTATAGTAATACTCTCTTGCATTATGGGAAGTACAAAATAGCAGAAGTGAAAATTAAAACGGCATGGGACAGAATTGACTGGCACTTTGAATAATGAATACTTAAATGCACTTTCTATCAATATTATAGCCTAAGACCGCACTATTCTAAATGTATGCTTAGTCTGACAAATTCTGCTTAAAGAGGCGTTTATGCTAATAATGGAATGCATCATTAAAAAACACGAAAGATTGTTTACATTTTTCAAAACACCCACAACTTTGAAAGCAACAAGAAAAAAACAGCCCAAACAGAGTAGAGCACAACAGAGTCCTGTGTTCCCTCAAACAGAACAGAGACAAGCCTGTAGTGCCAGTCTGACGACAGAGTGTGTGAGAGAAAAAGAGAAAGTGAAGAATCATATGGAGTAGGAACAGCAGAGACATTAATCTAAGTGGTCAGCCGAGACAGTTACCAAATAAAACTGCAAGTGTACTGTGACTACTTGTGACTGGTTTTCATCTAGCTGGTTACTTGACTACATTCACTACCTTTCAAAAGTTTTTTTTAATTTTATTTATTTTATTTTTTTTTAAGTAAAAGTAATTAATGCATTAAATTGATCAAATGTGACAGTAAAGGCATTTGTAATATTAAAAAAGATTTGTTCAAATAAATGCTTTTCTTTTGCGCTTTCTATTCATGAAGGAATCCTTAAAACAAATAGTGCTGTCAAACGATTAATCATCGCATCCAAAATAAAAGTTTTTGTTTAGATAATAAATATACACAGTACACACACATATATTATGTAAATACACACACATGCATGCATATATTTAATAAAAATATGTTAGGTTTATATATTAAATTATATAATATAAATTATATACGAATATATACATGTAAATATTTTCAAAATATAATCTGTATGTGTGTGTGCTTATATATACATAATAAATATACACAGCACACACACATACAGTATATTATGTAAGAAAAAAAACTTATTTTGGATGCGATTAATCGCAATTAATCATTTGACAGCATTAAAAACAAATGTATCACGGTTCTGACAAAATATGAAGCAGAACTGTTTTCAACATTGGTAATGATAATAAATGTTTCTTGAGCAGCCAATCAGTATATCAGAATGATTTCCTGAAATCTGGAAGGATCATGTGACACTGAAGACTGGAGTAATGATGCTGAAAATTCAGCTTTGCATCACAGGAATAAGTTGCATTTGAAAATATATTCAAACAGAGAATGGCTATTTTTAATTGTAATAATATTTCACAATATTACTGTTTTTATTGTATTTTTGATCAAATTAATGCAGCCTTGGTGAGCATAAGAGAAATAAAAATGTTCACTCTAACAGTTGTTGTCTTCCAAGGTTGTACATTTAAGACTATTTCTTCTATGAAGCAAAAAAAAAAAATATATATATATATATTTTTTTCTTTTTAAAGAAAATACAATGAAAGTAAATAGTTTGGACTTTCACTGTATAGACAAAACTGCAGAAGAAAGAAAGAGAGTCATATAAGTTTTATGCTTCTTAATGTCAGCTTTAAACAGGGCCACATGGGAGTGTGAGAACCCATTAGAATGGAGTACAACGCTACGACAGCACATTTCCAGTCAGTCTGCTGCTCAGACGGCTCTGTCGTACTGGCTGAGTCAGTGAGAGTCGCTGTGAGTCATCAGCAGGCGCTGTGAGCGAGTGTGTTTGTGTGCTGCTCTCTCACCCTTCCTCGGTCTCATTAATGATGTCACAGATCTCCATGGATGTGGCTTTTAATGATGAGACCTTTTTTGTAATCAGGCTCTCAAAAAGTATATAACAATTTGGATATAGATTTATCGGCCAACATATCGGTTATCGGCTTTCAAAAATAAAGAATAATCGGTTATCGGTATCAGCCAAAATTTTCATATCAGTGCATCCCTAGTTTTATCTTATTTATCCATAATCATGATGGTTGCATTGTAACTGTTGCTAGGTGTATATGACTTTCTTCTTTCAGACGAATCCAGTCTGAGTTATATTAAAAATTGTCTTTGATCTTTCAAGCTCTATCGTTGTACTCAGCAGGTGTTGCATTGCTTCTGTCCAAAAGACATGGCTCCGGGGGGTGAACAAAGGCCTCCTGTAGCGAATCGATGCGTTTTTGTAAGAAAAATATCCATATTCAAAACATAATAATCACTTTAATCTAGCTTGCGCCAGCAGTTGTACACAGAAGCAGTTCTGGGAGGATGAGGTCAGCGTTGCGCATGCGCCGGTGAGTCTCGTGAAAACCAACGTTTGTTAACAGGATCAAAAGAAGCAAAGTTTCCTTACTTTAGCAAAGGAAAACCAGTCTCCTCTTGGCTTATATCAAAATACTCCGACATTTTTCTTTACAAATCCTCGTTTTGTACTTCTAATTAGTGACCGTTGTTTTGTTTCGATCTCTCCGCTTCACTTCTGAGCGACGCATGCGCAAAGCTGACCTCATACGTCATTCCCCCGGAACTGCTTCCATTTACAACAGTGAGCGGAAGCTAGATTCAAGTGATTATTACGTTTTGAATATGGATATTTTTCTTACAAAAACGCATCGTTTCGTTACAGGAGGCCTTTGTTCACCCCCCTGGAGCCGTGTGAGACACTTTTTTTATGGAAAGGTGCTTTTTATTTCAGGTCTTTTGGACAGAAGCAATGCAACACCCGCTGAGTACAACGATAGAGCTTGAAAGATCAAAGACAATTTTTAAATATAACTCCGACTGGATTCGTCTGAAAGAAGAAAGTCATATACACCTAGGATGCAGTAAAACGCAGCCTAATTTAAATTTTTGGATGAACTAACCCTTTAATGCATTAGCATGAATGAGCAATAGCTACATTTGCTACAGAAGTTATTAATCTTTGTTTAAAAATACAACCGTTAGTTCATTAAATAACAGTTGCAACTTTTTATTTTAATAACGTGTTATTAAATATCGAAATTACCTAAGATTAATGAATGTTTAGAATAATTTTTCATTGACAGTTTATGTTTACTAATGAATTAACTTTCCCCCTAATAGTCGACCAAAATTGTATTAGTCGCAGAAAAATTTAAAATAAAAAAAATCCACAGGCGAAGTCACGCAGTCCGTGACAGACAGATCGTTAACGGCTAGTCTATGGGAATACAGTACATCGGGCAGGACATCCAAACGTTTGCATGTCCATATCCAAACATTTGGTTGACATCCAAATCATTCATCGACCTCAATTATGGCTTATCATCTGAAATATTTAAGTATTAGCAACTTTACATGGTCGCTCAATCTAATGTTAACCTAGAGAAAAGTGTGCTATAGTGTCTGTGCGGAGTGTGGAGCTGAACAGTAGCGTTCACTGCGGGACAGATGGAGGCGCCGGTGCGTTTATTTGTGTATATCATTGTCATATCATCTACAGGAGGCCTTTGTTCACCCCCCGGAGCCGTGTGAGACACTTTTTTTAATGGAGGGGCGCTTTTTATTTAACTTCTTTTGGACTGAAGCACTGCAACACCCGTGACATTAAACAGCTTGAAAGATCAAAGACAATTTTTTAAATAACTCCGACTGGATTCGTCTGAAAGAAGAAAGTCATGTACACCTAGGATGCCTTGAGGGTAGGGCTGGGCAAAAAAAATCAAATGCAATTTTCATGCGAATCTCGTCAGTAAAGCCGCTTCTGGTGATTAGTAGTAAATCTCCATCACGTGCTTTCAGATGGAGCGGCATTTACTACACAGAGCCGTAGATCACTGACAAGCTACACAAAATTGCGTTCAAAATCGGCAATGAATCACCTGCATTTTTTCGCTTCGATTTTTTGCACAGCCCGACTTGAGGGCGAGTAATTTATGGCCCAATTTTCATTTTTGGGTGAACTAACCCTTTAATGCAGTCTCCTTACTGTTTTTCCCTGAACACATTCATAATCATTACTTCTGCGGTGCACTGTGGCAAGCTTTATGCGTGCGCTTGAGCGCTTATTAGGCTATGTGGGCAATTAAAGGCTCATTATAATGATTTAAATGGTTTATTAATAAACGAGCGATTAGTCGACTAATGCTTAAAATGAGCGACTACTAGTCGACCAGAAAAATCCTTATTCGAGGGAAGCCCTAGAATTAACTAATGTTCATTAATAGAGCCTTAATGTAAAGTGTGACCAAACAATAAAGAATCAAAACATTTTCAAACAATATCTAGGGCATTTGTAATCCAGATTAAAATGTAAAAAAAGTTTGAAAATAAATAGCCTATTAAGTCTAAATATTTAAGTATTTGACGCTGTGATGAATACCACTGCGAATACAAAAATCTGAATGGTTATTTAAACCATTTAAATATGTTTTAGAAAGTAGCACAGCTGCTTTATTTATGGGGTTTCTGGGGTAACGGCTGCATTTCTACTGTTCATCGCCATCTGCTGTCGGAGAGTGAATGTGTGCTTTCATCCAGAGCATCTCTCACGCACTCCACCATGCCCTTCTCATCCGTGCTTGTTTATATCAGAGTGCGCACGCATCTTTCACGCAGCATACAGCAGTGTTGTGCATTGTGACCAGTTGATGGGAAAAATATTCTTAAAATGCATCCAAAAAATCTGAACAATTTGTAATAAATAATTATTCTCTGTATTTTGAAGTAGCCGATATATTCATTACCGTGATATATCGCATTACCGAATACTGGCACATGTCTATTAGATACATAACATAGACGTAACATTACAACTTGCATCTGCACAAAAGGATGCAAATACCAGTGAACTTTAAATTACGCGCTATAGCGAGAGAGAGAGAGTGAGAGAGAGAGAGAGCTCCCTCCGTGATGCACATTCATAACAGCGCGCTAAAACACAGGCAAGGAAAGCAGACAGAATTTACTAGAGATTTCACATTCGATAGAGTTCACATGCTATGTTTACGAAATGCCAGTGAACTTTAAAGGTGCAGTAGGAGATCTTGGAAAATGCTAACTTTAGCCTGATAGCACCCTCCCTGCAAATCGCCGTCAGAAGCCACGCCCCCTCAACGCATATACGCTCACAGACCAGAATACAAGAGATAACATTACTACAATAGGCTACATCAGCGGTTCCCAATTCCAGTCCTGCGCAAATCCGTGAATGAATGTTCCAAAATGAAGTAAACTTCAATGGATATCCCCTGCTCAGGGAGTAGGGAGCAATGAACACTGTGTAGGGATCATATCAATCGGAACACAGTTCATGCACGTAGCTCACTTCTAACGAGATGGTTATCTGAATCGGGTGTGTTAACTAAGCGAGACATGCAAAATATGCAGAGTGGGGGGGCGCGAGGACTGGGATTGGAAACCACGGTGAGAAAACTTTAAAAGTACTACAATACCAGGAAGGAAGATCGGGTTGTTGTTGTTTGCCTGCCATTCTCGCCTGGTCTGCTCATGACGTATCCTGTCTGCGCGAAGTGGGTGCACAGAGGTATGCAAATACATACGTTGACAAGCAGGGAGGAAAGCCAATTAAAATGCTCGGACCGAGCGTTTTGATTGGACGAACATTTCTTGTTCCTATGCCTTCCACAGAATATATAAATAGAGGTAGATACATTTAGACCACTTAACTTAATGATCACTATTGCACCTTTAAGTTACGTGCTATATCGAGAGAGAGAGAGAGCTCCCGCCGTGATGCGATTTTATAACAGCACGAAAGCAGACAGAATATATAAAGTTCTCATTACAATGCTTTGCTTGTGGCAGATTTCTGCTATATTTTCATCTACATTATCAAGTGATTCCTGAAATCGCCTGTGCATTTTCTAAGTACAAAAACTGTATTAATTGAAGTATGCCTACTGTTGAACAAATATGACGAAAAAAGCACTGCTGCATTATTATAACATCAGTATTTTAAAAAAGAAACATCTAAAAGCAATATGACCATCTCAAATAACTCAGTCAATATCGGGCATGGCATTTGAGCATGAAACTAAATGCATGTAATATGCAGCACATTCAGCATGTTAATAAATGTTAATATCCCAACGCATCCTATATTAGATTAATCAGATATGTATGTAGCTAACCCAGACATCACTACGGGACTTTGAAGACATGCTTCTCTCTCTTCTCACGTCTATACTTTGGACTGCATGCTGTGGCAAGCTAAACAATCAGAGCTCAGGGTGCCGCCCGTGCTGATATAACCATTTAGAAAAAAATAAAAAATGTTCCATGATCATCGTTTTCATGATTGATCATCACTGTCACGGCCGAATACTCGATCACTGTTGCACATCCCTAAAATAAATGAGGATTGGAAAAAATAAATTCACAGATCTATTGCATATCAATGTGAAATTTAATTTTTGCACCACTATTGTCAACAAAAGTTATTGCAAAATATAATGATTGTTTTCAAAAAGTTTCCTGAACACTCCCCCGGTCAGTCGAAATAATATACATGCTTATACAACAGTTCTTTCTGCTTCTCGAATATGATTGGCGTGCAATATTCTAGTGATAACATAACTCAGAAATTTCAACCACTCATGAACCTGTCGAGAGCAGCCAGTTACATGCATAATACACAATACAGTGAGCTTTTAATACAGTAATGCAATAAGCTTTCCATGAAGCAACTCAAAATTCCTTCGTTACTAGTTCTAAAGTGACATTTTCGAATTAGTAACGGAGGCTTGGACTCAGCTGGTAAACTGTCAACTTGAGATTTAAATCCGTGGCAGAAGGAAGTAGTTCTATATATGC